CCTTAGGCTTCCGCCAGGCGTCGGCAGGCGCGGAAATGCAATTCGGCCCAAGAAAGCCTGAGGAGGCCTGCCGCTCCCTCACTCTACTGGCGAATGTTAATTCTAAACCTGGCGAATGTTAATTCTAAACCTAGCGAATGTTAATTCTAACCTGGCGAATGTAAATTCTAAACCTGGCGAATGTGAATTCTAACCTGGCGAATGTTAATTTCAAAAGTAAGGAATGTAGGGAAACTAATTCGTAAGTAAGATTAATTTACTTGTGAGCTTTTAGTTTAATGTGTGGCCTTGGAATTGATATTTCTTTTTAAATAGGATTTTTGCATTTTCTGTAAATTTGCCAGAACAAAAATCCGCGCATGCGGGCGCGTTGCGGTTATACAAAGTTTTGTTTTTATGTTTCTATGAAATTTTCGAGATAAATCGTCATTTATAGCAAAATTGGGGGGTTTTCCGCTTAGAGTGTACGAATAACACCGTCCGTGGACAGTTCAGCGCGCATAGGAGCGCCGCGTAGCGATGTCCTATCAGTGCCTTTTGGTTAGGGAATGGAATTGCGTGTGCCCCGAATTACTCCATTCTAGCTGGGCGGCTGCTGACGACTACCCCCTGAGCGGTATATTTCTGTGGTTTGATGATTTTGGCACTCCATTACTGTCTTCAATCTCACTCTTCTTGTACATTATCATCTTCCGCCATGTCGTCGTCAATGTGAGGAATTTTTAAAGGGATTTGGAGCGAAAAATTTGGGTTTCTAGCCATGATGCTTACCCATATTTCAGAAAAAACTCGACCGCATGAATGACGTTCGATGGGCGCTACAGGTAAGCGCTTTTGGGGGGGGTTTTACATTTCCGTCGCAGGAAAACCCGATTTAAAAAAATATAAATGGTGCAGTGCTTTAAAAAAGTTGTAAAAAAGAGTAAAGTAGTAGTAGTAAAAAAGTTAAAAAATTTCTCTAAGCCTAAAAAGGAGTGGAAAAGCGGAAAAAGTTTCTTTGATTTTGCTTAAAGATACTAGAATATCGATTTTAGAACGATATTTAAGTTTTGTGAACTTGTTTATATGTTTTATAAACGTTTTTCGAGACGCAAAACAAAAATTTTGGCAAAAGACTGATTATTAAGTATTAATAGAATTTATACAATTCGTATTTTTCCTAACCCTCTAATGAAAATACTAAAGTGCCGCCCTTTGCTATGATCTATGAATCCTTTCCCTAGACCTTCTGCTTTTGCCTGTTCTCCATCGGCGTCTCAATCGAGTGGACATGGGCCTACGACTGTTTCCCACCGACATTCATCTCTTTGTACGTCCAGAATGCGCTGTGGCCACTATGGAATGGGGCGAATGTCGTCTGCTTTTTCGCGTTTCAGAGGTGTATTTTGGTGTTCTATGGATAGTAATCGGTTTTAGAGACCCGTGGGATCGGAAGAAGAGCTTTTCGATGGTGGTGAAAGCGGCCGCGAATTTGCAGAGACCGTCACTTGTTAGCCCCGTTATCTTGTTAACGTCAAAATTGGCCAGCCGGGCATCGATTTGAGATGTTGGGCTTGTATAATAAAAATTCTTATCTAGCTACTTTTTAATGTTTATATAGTGAGAAAATCTTTCTGACTATCTTTCGCTGTCTCTCTCTTTTGCACGCTCTCTCTCTGGCTCGCTCGCTCGCTCGCTCTCTCTCACACGCTCTCTTTCTCTCTGTCTTTCCCGATCTCACTCTCTCTCTCTCGATCTATCCCTCTCTCGCTGTCTCTGTCTGTCTCTCCCTCTCTCTCCATCTCTCTCTCTCTCTCTCTCTCTCTCTCTCTTTCTCCCCTCGCTCTCGCTCAATTTTTTGACAGTATTTTAAAAAGCACATCCACTTTATTGAGCACTAGCAATGGACAATGGCAGGAAAAACGATCAAAATTTTTAAGCTGATTTTATGCAAATTTTTTTCTACAAAATCTATGCCGAGGGATTAACAGCAAATATTGCCAGGCCGACACGTCGTCCCGCCACCGCATTTACCGTTCCGACACGCTCCAAATGGCATGACATGTCCCGGGCAGTGGGCACAGCAGAATCCCGTCTCAAGGTGGCACGTGTAGCCGCCGGGGCAAGATCCCTGAAAAAAATTATGATGTAAATTATATATCAAGATTTTTGATCTCCCAAATGGATATATCAAGTTGTTGGATATCACTTACCTTTTGTTAGATGTAATTATACTGTAAAAATATATACTGTATAATTATACTGTAAAACTTTAGAAAGAAGCGTGGCATACGCTGAATCCGCTGCAAAATTCGTTGATAAACCACACTCTATTTCCCGCCTCGTTAAGTACGAAACACGGCCACTTACATTCGGCCCACATTTGCCGGGGGAAATTCCGACCGGGCATTCACAGCAGTAATTAGAAGACGTGCACGATTCCCCGGCTGGGCAAGTGCCAGCCGTGCACGAGCCCAGGGCAGCTTCTCCCCCGCAAGCGTCTGAAAACGGTTGTTATGGAAGTTTTGATGGGGCTAAATTACAGGGTTTTCTAGAAAACAGCAGATATACATACGTTTATATTCATTTCCGGTTGATGTGCAGCACAATCCGTTGATACACGTCTGGCCCGGAGCACATTGCCCTGGCTCGTTGCATCGCACTTCCGAGAGTTGTCCGTGGTAGCAGACGCCTGAATGAGGAGGGATATGAGTGAGAGAGAGAGAGAGAGCGAGAGAGAGAGAGAGAGAGAGAGAGAGGGAGAGTGAGCGCGGAAGAGAGACAGAGAGCGGCAGAGAGAACGCGAGAGAGATGTCGAAAACACCAACCGAATCTGTGCCCGGGTACTGGTGGGAGCGGCGGTGGCAACGGTGGTTCCGGCACGGTGCAGCAGCAACTCTTAAAGCCCCCTGAATTTAGTCACCCTGCCTTAAACGGACCTGTATGCACTGGGAGATTCCGGTGTGATACGGTGTACAGTCAACTGACGAGCGGCACCCGACCCCGATCAGTCGACCGCCATTCTGGCATTTTGGAGCTGTCGGGGTGCAGGCTAAAACGTTGCGTACAAGCTGGGCTAGACCACAACCGATATGTCAAGAAATCGGGCAGAAATCGGAAATCAGAAATCGTGGCAGCCAACTTCAAACAATAAAAACCATACTAAATTATAAAAGTAAGGTGGATAATATAGAGCCATAGTCGGAAATTGTATAATTTAATTCTCACTTTTAACATTTCTAATTCATATAATTATATAATTTTGGTTAGTGCCCGCATTTCCTATAAAAAACTCACGCTTAACAGAGTAGTACTGGGTTGGCGGTGAGCCGCAAAGATAGTAAAACGTCTGCCGCTTCACCCGCACCAACGCCGAGTCGTTCATGAAACGCGGCACGTCGCCGGCGCCCCACGAGGTTTGGATCAAGGAACTAAAATTACGTTAATTCCTAAATTATGGGTTAATTGGGGTCTAAAATTTGTCTTGAAAATTTTCAGACCTGAACAGTATACAGTCAAGCAACAGGAACATGGTCTCGAATTCGTTTTAGGACAATGGATAGCTCGAGGGCCAGGCTGTATTTATAGATAAATCGGAACCCCCCGGGGCGAGAGAGAGAGCGAGAGAGAGAGAGATAGATAGAAAAAGAGATTCCGGACCATATTTGGGCAGCCGCACCCTTGTATATTCTCTTTTTGGTGCCCCCTTCATCCTCTATATTCCCTGATTCATCACCCGAACCCCGGCCCCCAACGCAAATGATGCCATTTTTGTTGCCATATATTTGCTTGAGCGCTGCCTGTTGATACTCTATCTTTTTATTGTTTGCGTTGGCAACGGATTCCGAGTAGATACTTTGTGAAGAAGCGAGAAACCCATGGATTCGTCATTGTTAATGGTATTTTAGACTTTTTGTGGTATTTTGAAGAGGTTGGATTCGTCAGCGACATGCAGAGTTCTCAAAACATCGCAACGTCGCAGGATGTTCCGCAATGAATAGTTGCCAGAGGGCGGATTTCGCTTTAAAAGGGGCAGCAAGTGAAAATCCGCTTTCTCTGAAAATTGACCTCGACGCTGCGCCTACCGCTAGCATCCGACCGGTTTTAAAAATACGATATTGCGGAAAATATGGAAATTTTAGGAAAACAAAAAAAATAATGACAAAGAACTCGAATTTCGGGGTTTTGGATGTCGGCATTTTGAAGTTCGGTATTTTGGTGTTTGGGTTTTTGAATGTCGGTATTTTGGGCGTTCCTGGGTGCGGCCGTCGGGATTACGGATTTCAGGGTTTTGGCTATCGGTTTTTGAGGGTTAAGCCTCATTCGGGGTTTTGGAATTCAGTGTCTTGGATGTCGATATTTTTAGCGTTCGGTTTACTAATTATTCTCAGTTAATTTAGAAATTCCGACATCTGAACCAAATTCCATAGTCCCTCCGAGATAGCGATAGGTGTTTGCCCTATCCCCTCGGGCTCTTTTTGCCACTGCGGGGGTTGAGCAACAGAGAGAGGGGCGTGAGGTGGAGGAGGAGGAGCAACAGGGGGGCCACAATCCATCCATCGAACCTCTAGCTCCCTGCTCTACCTCCTCCTCTTCCTCTTTTCCACCACAGCTCCATTACACCGTCTTCATGCTCGGCTTTATCCCTTCTCAACGGCTCTACCCGCCACGAAAACCCCACAGGGGCCTCTCTACTTTTTTTTGGGTTATCCCCGGTGGATCCCGGTAGACGGAGCCGACTGGTTATCGATTGAGTCGGTTATACTCTGAATTTTCATATATCGTCTTGGTTCTATCATTTTTTATCTATTTTTTGCATCTTTTCGGGCCCTCAAATTTAAATTTTGAGGGCTTATGATTGTTATAAATTAAATTAGTTGTCTTTAATTTAGCCCCGTTTTCTTGAATTTCCGTTCCGCCAATGGTTAGCGAATTTTCAGAATTCACAAGCTACGGTAACCCGCTTTTTAGTGTTCCATCCACTCACTCGGGCAACCTAAACGCCCCGGCCACGCGAAAAGATGTCGGTGGGCCTGGTGGCGTTGCGGAGAAATGATCGGATCACCCGGGAGGATGCCGATGAAAAGACCAAATATTGGGACGACTATCCCACCAGGTACGACTAGAAATAGGCACTCAAAACTAGCGCGTATTTTTTCAGGAACTACGTGGACCGAGCACGAGCCCAGAATGCTTATTCAGAGTTTTTGGGTGATGTTAGTTTCCTTAATTGCCTCTCTCTCTCTCTCTCTCTCTCTCTCTCTCTCTCTCTCTCTCTCTCTCTCTCTCTCTCTCTCTCGCTCGCTCTCCCCCTCTCCCTCTCTCTCCCTCTCTCGGTCTCTCTCTCGCTCGCTGTCTCTCTCGCTTTCTCTCTCTCATTCCCCCTCTCTCATCCTCTCTGACTCACTCCCTCACTCCCTCTCGTTCTCTGTTTCTCTCCCGCTCGCTCTCTCCCGCTCTCTCCTCTCTCTCATTTTCGCTCTCTCTCTCGCTCACCAGCTCTGACTCACTCTCTCACTCTCGCTTTCTCTCTCTCATCTCTCTCACTCCCTCTCAAACCTCTCAAACCTTCAATCCTCCCTTCCAGGTGTTCCAAAAGCCAAAAGCCCTCGGCCGCTCAGCCTCTCTGGTCAACCTGACCTATGTACGCGAGACTCCATCTGAATTCCCGTGCTTGAAGCGGACATCCACGTATTCCTCTCTCGCCCCATCACTCTCCCTTCCACAGGTGACCCTCTTAACCGATTAAAAACCGCACCAAACCGCCAAAAATAATCTCTAAAACTACATCATTATCCTAAAATACGCCCCTGTTTACAGTACGACCGTGAAGCACAGCGGATAGTGCATACCGAGAAGGTGTACAAACCCCACTACAGCCAATGGTACAACAATGCCTATTCGTCCGCCAGATATGGGGTGAGTGGGCATCAGGAGTACATAAATATGAAATGCTAATTAGGATACGCACCGAGCCGTCGAACGCCCCTACCGTAACGTGACGGCCGACATTCCGCGTGTACAGACACATGTGCCGTTCTTCACCTTCCAGGCCAAGCGAATCTTCCACGATCAGGTAGGGTTATCCTAGCTCTCTTACTGCCTTTCTATTACTGCAAAGTAACTGCAAGTATCTCTCTCTCTGTCCCCTCTCTCTCTCTCTCTCGCTCTCTCTCTCTCTCTTTCGTCCGATCCCTCTTTCTCTAGCTCTCTCGCTCACTCTCTCTCACTATCTCTTTCTCTGGCAGTTTCTCCTACACACTTTCACTCTTTCTCACTTCTCTCTCTCTCTCTCTCTCGTCGCTATCTCCCGTGCTCTCTCTCACTCTCTCTCTCTATCTTCTCGCTCTCGCTCTCTCGCTCTCTCGCTCTCTCTCTCTCTCGCTCTCTCTGCCTCTCTCTCTGGTAGTCTCTCGTACACGCTCTCTCACTTTTCTTCTCACTCTTTGTTTTTATCACTCGCTCTCGCTATGTCTCTCTCATACATTATCTCTCTCCTAATATTGCACAAGCTCTGCTTTTCAGCGAGAAGCCTGGAACAGATCGTACCTCCATGGCTCGCAGGCGTACCTCGATCGCTACGTATCCTCCCGACTCCGCGCCGACGATTTTGCCAACCGATTTGCGTACAGGTGCGGCACCAATAAGACGTTTGGGGGCCTGTCGATATTCCGCTTTGCACCTAATTTCACCCAATATCCCATTTTCAGCGCCTACGAGTGGCGAAAACCGTCGTCGGACGCCTTCAACCGGCACCCAATGTATGACCATGTAAGTGACGGAATTTGTTGCAACTTGGAACGCGACGCGGGTTTGGCTTGATAGCTTGAAGGCCTCATAACCCATTACGCAACGGAATTCGGGAAGTGAACGTCGCGTGTGTCCCTTTCCCTTTAAAACATTTCCAATCCCCATTTCCAGAACGTGCACGTGACGTTCGCCCCGGGCATCCCGAACTTCTACGAGAAGCAGGCGATGCGCCGCATGTACAAGGCCACCGGAAGACTGTATTTCTAAGCTTATCGTTCGATATTTCTCCCCCATATCCCATTGCCTGCCATTAATGCGCGAACTCGGTGCTTAACGACCTACAAAGGTGGCTGAATAAACGGTTACGCCATGAAATTTGTATTGGACACATCAGAGGAGAAGCTGCGTCAAGCCTACTCAAGCTTAAGCCAAAGCCTAATCCTAACCTAAGCTTAACCTAAGCTTAGGTCCAAGCTCCGTCTAAACTAAAGCCTAACCTAAACCTAACCTAAGCCTAACCTAAGCTTAGGTCCGAACTTCGCCTAAGCCTATGCCTAAGCCTGACCCAAACCTAAGCATAAGCCTAACCTAAACCTAAGCCTGACCTAAGCATAAGCCTAAGCCTAAACTAAGCGTAAGCCCAAGCTTAACCCAAACCAAGCCTAAGCCTAACCTAAGACTCAGCCTAACCTAAGCCTAAGCCTAACTCAAGTATAAGCCTACGCCTAACCTAAGCCTAAGCCAAGCCTAAACCTCCTAGCCTAAGCCTAAACTTTACCTAAGCCTATGCCTAAGCCTGAAATCTGAGCCTAAGCCCACCCGTCAAAAACCGGAAACCCCAAACTTTAAGGAAAACTCATTTTTTTAATCCGCATTCACCTCGGCATAAAAATGAATAAATATTTATTCGACTAAATAATAAAGCTATACATGTACAACAAAAAATGAAAATGAATAAACATTGCGACTAGATAAATATGGGAAATATAATAAAAAATATAAAAATCATCGAGGACCCACAAACTAACATGGCACGGGGATGGGAGGGCGCATCATTTTGGCGGCTTCTTCAATTTTTTTCTAGGTTTTTAATGGTAGAAATTTAATGGTTTTTAATAATCCAAGGAGGAAATTTTATATTTTAATGGTCTAAATAATTTAGGATTAAACAAAATTGAAGAAATCGTTCTGAAAAGCGAAACGTCAAATAGAACAAAGACATTCACCCGGGTTGCTTGCTAGAAAATGGGAATTTGGAACCGGGGGGAAGACGAGGATTGTCAAGGTATGGAATGATGCATTAATAGGGTTGATCGGGACTGATTAAAGGGACAAGCAAGGCAGGACGTGGATACGGATTACCGCGCCGCGACACGCAACGAACCCTTGTACGACCATTGCGATAGACACCGAAAACTCGGCGGGCGCGTTGCGTTTAGCGATGCGGAATAACCAAGAAGCAAAAACTCACCGCTATGCCTTTCCAGTCCCTTTAAAGCCCACTTTCAGGAATTTGGACGTATACACCTATTTACGCAGTGACGCCGGCGTTCATAGGTGTATTCGTACAACTCCCGGAGCGCGCGATTTAAGAAAAGGAATCATTGAGGATCGGGAGGGAGAAAAAAACATAAATGACAGGGCGTAATAAATTGCTTAAATGCGGGAAGTCCCCATAGTAAATGTCGTAATCGATTACAACGCCCTTTAGCCGGGCGTCTGCTCGATGGCCGCATACGAATTGTTGATGGCGTGCTGGGGATGCAGATGCGAACTCTCTGAGAAGGTGGGGTTCGCTTTTCCTCCCGCGCCTCCGCCGTTCTCCCCTGGTAGACCGTTCGTCTGAAATCGGGAATTAAGGGGCCGCACAAGAGCTTGTAATTCTGGCTTGGTTCTGAAAGTGAGAAAGTGAAAAGAGTCGGTTCTGGACTGTTAGCGGGGGGGCGTGAAAAATTCGGTCTTGCTTTTCCCCTGATATTTAACGTATTTTTATGGTATTTTTAGTAGTTTTGATAGCTATAAAGTTATCAAAAATATCTTAGGAAATTGAGACAGTTTGAAAATCTTGAAATTTTGATACATTGTTGACCAAAAAACCAAAAATTTTCGAAATTCGTGCAATTTGGGTTCTCCCTGCTAAACGCCCCCTCCCGCTAACAGTCCAGTACCAAATTCTTTAGGTAAAAATGGTGAAAACTTGATGGTAAGCTGAAAACACCTAAACCTCTCTAAAATCGCTACTAAAACCCAAAAAAAGATTTCTAACGATTATACAACGGTGGTACGCAAAATACTAACCACACGCTGGTAATACCCAAAATTATAGATAGAAATATGTAAATCGACGGACCTTGGAGAGGAGTAACGTCTCACTGCTCACGTTGAATGAGACGTCCGACCGGAGGGCGATACGCTCCTATAAACACACAATGGCTATCGGCAATCAGCATGCTTTTCACTAATAAGATACGTTGTCTTTTTGTATTGCAAGAAATCATCAAAAATAGGCTGCACGAAATTCGCTTCATGGCCCTCTTAAACGCTTCTTCATATCACTACATCCTTAATGCTAGAATAGACCCAAAAACGCGTTCAGATTCCGACATGCTACGATCGTTTCGATGCGGGGGAGAAGAGGGAGGTAAACCATGTTCAGCGATTGAACTTACCGGCGGCACATTAACGACACATCCCAGGAAATCCATCTCCGGCTGCAGTCGACCACTTCGGAACAGCCAGATCGAGATCTTGGAGACCTGGAAAAGGTATTTGTAGCTTGAAGCATGGCGGTGAGTTTTTTTAAGGTTTCGTTCGTGGTTGTTGCTTGCTACTCGAATCCCGTCATGGGCAATTTGGTCAGGGAAAATGCTGAAAAGACAAAATACTTATATTTATCGTATCGACAGGCCAAAATCCCGACAGCCAGAATCCCGAAAACGCAAACTAATAGTAGGCCAGGAAGATAAGACTTTATGTTACCCCCACCCCCCACAGCCAATGGGTCTTAAAGTTTTCGGTGTTTTCGCTTATTTTGCTGGGATTCGATTTGTTTTGCAACGCCATTCGATAGAGCGTCGAAAAATATACTAAGAGTTTGAATTTGAGCCTACAATAATGAAAAATAAAAAAGTTATAGCCAAAACCTTGCGGCTGGGGGGGGGGGGGTAAAGTGTAGCCGCCCGGAAAGCGGAGAGGGTATTTTGTCTGTCGGAATTTTCAAGTCTTGCCATTCCTTGTTCCTGTCCCTTTACACGAGATACTAGAGTTTACACACAACGCAACCCCACGCAACGCAGTCGCACTCATCCAACCCACCGAGTACAACGTGGCCAACGTCGACAACATGGCCATGGTCCGGAACGGGAAATACTGCTTCTCCTCCGCCTCGTCGTACATGGGATAGTGGACAAAGGCGGGAAGGCCGACAAGTATCTCACCGCCCGATATTCGCAGGATGAAGCCCACTAAAAACCAATACTTAACGTGATGGAGAACCAGATTTATTTCAAGGACAACTACCCACCAAGATACCCGGCCAGACAGCCATACGTATTCGAATCGGTCATGTAGACGACGCAGAGGAGTTGTGGAAACAAGATGACATACACCAGATCGGCACATAGGTACCTGAAAAGATAGAGCATGATAGATGGAGAGTGAGAGAGGATGGAGGGGCAGAGAAAGAAAGATATTTGCTCACCATAATCCGTAGATACTATGAATGGTGAGTGCCATCACTGTCGCCATGATGCCCACCACGATGATCGAGAATCGCATCACGATAATTACTTCGCGTTCGGAGGCCTGGAATGGAATGGGTAGCGAGCGAGAGAGAGAGAGAGAGAGAGAGAGAGAGAGAGAGAGGGAGAGAGACGGAGAGAAGAGAGAGATGGAGAGAGCGAAATAGAGAGGGAGAGAAAGGAAGAAGAGGTAGATAGCGCGAGAGTGAGAGAGAGAGAGAGAGAGAGAAAGAGAGAGAGAGAGAGAGAGAGAGAGAGAGAGAGAGTAACTCACATGCGGCCGAATCGTCAATTTCCAGATATTATGTGCAAACATCGATGCGGCTGATAAAACGGAGGAATCAGCAGATGACATCACGGCTGCCGAGACGGCACCAAGGCCTGAATTTTGAGGTGTTCTGAGGGAATTAGCGTAGTTTCAAGAATCGAGCTACGAGGCATAAGTTATTCCTAAGCGCAGCTCTAAGCTTAGAACAATGCCTGCACGTAAGCACGAGATCACGCCAAGCCGAAACCTAAGCTAAGCCTTAGCCCTAAGCGCGAAGCTAAGCTTAAGTCGATGCAAGATCCTAGCCGAATGCGAAGCATAAAACAAAACCGAAACCTGGAAGAAAGTCAGATCCAAGAAGTTTATGCCTACAGTCTAAGCCTGAGCCAAAGCCAAAGCTCGAGCTTAAGTCAAAACTAAGTCAAGCCCGCGCATGCAGAGACAAAGTAAAGCCAAGCTTTAGTCTCTTGACTTCAGCTAATACTAAGGTTATCTTAACAACGAATTAAGGCCTAAACACGAAAATCCCGATGACCCACCGACAAATGACACCCATCGAGGCGTGAGATATTGGAAGACGATAGGCACGACCATATTCCGGTATTCAGGCGGAATCACCTTCACCACGGTCCCATTATTCCACGGCGAATATTCCGTCAGGCTCCAATCTACAGTATCAAATTCTCGATGAGCAACCACAAAAAAATACCTGTATTTCTTGCGATGGCGCCAATAATGGCCGGCGGGATGGCCATCAAAATACAGCCAACCCCGGCGACGAATGACAGCATTCGTGCACCTTGTGATGTTTTTGAAGACAGTACCCGTTGGAAGTACACCTGGATACGGTATCGGTGGTTATCATACCATACTGAGGGTACGGTACCTGCCAGGGGATCCCGCCAAAGACGAGGAGAAGCATACAATCCCACCACAAAGCCCATTCACGAAATCCGCCAACGTCTCCTAAAATCGGCGTGTTATGGAAGTAGTGGTATTCGATAATTCGCTTTAAAGGGGTTAGGAAGTCAAAATTTGTTGTTAGTTAGCCAATTTGGCCATGCCGTACCTATCCATTCTGAGTAGTTTCGCGTAATAGACGCTGTTTTGCCCTGCAGAAGAGCGGCTGGCACGCAGACCCACTAAAAACTGAGTTTTTCTTGCTTTATCAAAGTCTGACCAGTCCGACGAGGATGCAGAAGAGCTGGACGACGTCGGTGTACGCAACTGCGTAGAGGCCTGGAAATTGAGAGGTTAGTAGAGGAGAGAGAGAGACAGACAGACAGAGAGACAGAGAGGGAGACAGAGAGGGAGAGCGAGAGAGAGAGAGCGAGAGATGAGATACGAGCGAAAACCTACCGCCAGTAAATGTATAAAATACAGCGATAATCGCTGAAATGACGACGGAAATCCCCATGTCAATGGCTAGAATGACCGACAGCGTCGCCCCTTAAAAAGGGGGGTTGTGTTTCACATTTTTAGGGCTACCGAGAGCTGACAGAATGGCCGCACTCCAGAAGACTTCGCCGAAGAGTGCGGGGACGAACATCAGCCCGCCGACGCGTTGCCCGTATTTGATCTAGGAAAGGAACGGCGTAAAAGTGGTAAAGTTTTGTGTCCGGTGCTCGACGGTAGGCTTCAGTCTAAGCCTAAGCCTAAGCCAAGCCTAAGCCAAGCCTACGCCAAGCCTAAGCCAGGTCTAAGCCAGGCCTAAGTCAAGCCTAAACCAATATCAAGCCAAGCCTAAGCCTAAGCCAAGGCCAAGCCAAAGCCAAGCCAAAGCCAAGCCCGAGCCAAGCCTGCGCCAGGCCTAAGCCCAGCCTAAGTCAAGCCCAAGCCAAAGCCAAAACCGTTATTTTCCTCACCTGGAACGGGTCAAGCATCGTAATATATCCCTCCTCGCGCATCCGCTTCGCGAACAACACCCCGCCCACCAACAGCGAGATCGCGTACCCGAACGGCGCCTGGAAAACGTCGATAGTAGCCTAGAGTAGTCGACTCCTACCTGACAGCCCAAAAGACCGCCGTTATAGAGGGCCTCGGCCGTCCCGTTGATGTACGCACCGCCCACCCAGGTCGCTGAAAAAACATAATTGCGCTAAACCCTAACAAAAATTATGTAAAGGAAAAAGCTTGAAAAGGAAAAATTTTAAGCTCAATTTTAACTCTTAGCTTATCAAGATTTTCCGAACTGACCGGTCATTGTAAAAATCCCGACAACGGTGCCGATATTCCGACCCGCGAGCATCACCTCCTCGGTATGCTCGCCCTCCTCGAGGCCCTGCAAATTGTGGCGTTGCGTAGCGTAAGTAGCAATATCGCGTACCTTGGCATCTTTCGACTTCCTTCCCGCCCATATTCCGACGATTAGGATGAGGATGTAGAAGAAGATGATCGCCACCACCCCGAGAAAGTCCATTTTGGGGCCGGATTCTGGAAATGGCTCGGGATACTTGGAGGGCGATCGAAAAATTAATGGGGGGAAATTAGTTTTGAGCTTGAAAGGAATTTTCGCGTTTTTCCGGCTTGCTGATTCATTAAAACCCCGCAGCAGTTCAACTGGTCGATGGGTGTCCGGCGTAGCGGTCCCGACGAAAGTTGAGAAAGCGACGTTCCGCTCACCCACCCACACACAGATAGAAAAGAGAGAGAGAGAGAGAGAAATGTGAAGAAAAGAAGAAGCCTGGATGAGTATTCAGCAAAAAAGGAGCAGGGAAAACAAAAGAATTTGGGAGGACTTCTTCCCTAGAAGCCGACGCGCAAAGGCCATCCACTTCCACCGAAAGGGGGGGGGGCGGATTTTAGGGCAGACAGACAGACAGACAGAGAAATGCTTAAGGTATCACATAATTTCTGGGGTGCTCCTTTTCAAGAGATGGGAAGCGCCATGATCAACAGCTTTCGTCGAATAATCCGCCAGCTAAGAGAGTGAGAGAGAGTGAGAGAGATAGAGAGAGAGAGAGAGAGAGAGAGAGCGCGAGCGAGAACGGGAAATAGAGAGAGTGAGAGAGAGAGAGATAGAGAGAGAGTGAGAGAGAACGGGAGATAACGAGCGAGTGAGAGAGAGCGAGAGTGAGCGAGAGAGACAGATGACACTCTTTCCAGCTATTTTTGATGCCGCCGACAGGAACCCCCGTTAACGTCAATTCGCACACTTCCCCATCCTTTCGCAAGTCGAGTAAAGTACACCAAAAAAGCGAGCTGCACTCCTCCCGTCGCGCTCTGCGTATGTTACTCGATTCCGGGAACAAAGCCAAGCAGAAAGCAGGACGAGCAAAAGGAGCGAAAGAGGCAAAAGGAAGAAGCGGAAGAAGACGCTGAAGAAGTCGCGGTTGTGTTTGAGCGCCAGCAGGGTGTCAGGAGGAATGTGGCGGAATGGGGGGTCGGGAGTGTCCGCCTCTCTTTTGCCTTCAGAATTCCTTCAGAATCCGATCTGGCCTTCTCCTTTTCTAGATAGCTGTGAATGCCCCCCCCGCTTTCTGCCATGTGAACTCGTTTCCATCGGATTCCCCCCACCACCAAAAACACCAAAAACAGAAGCCGCGATGACGGGACAGGGGGAGAGGAGGAGGAGGAGGAGGGGATGGAGATCGGCCCCTAGGGGGCACGTCATCCTTCTTTGGCATATTGCTGGCTAGTGCGTCGCGCGGAGGCTTGCGTAGTTTTAAAGGGGTAGGGAATTCTTCGGTTTTGGGCATAGATTGTGATTAAGCTTAACTTTCGGCCTAGGCTTTAACTTAGAATTTGTTAATCCCAGACCGGGGATCAAACTTGGTCCTATTTGAGTCTTCGGGCTAGTAGTTAGAATTAGGCTTAGTTTCTCGTTTTGCTTAGGCTTAGACTTGGCTTAGGTCTAGTCTAATTCATGCCGTTCCCGTCCCTTTAAAGCGGCTAGAAAGGGTAAAATCAACAGTAAACGTAGAATCAACCCCTTAACTCGCGTTCATGGAAGCGACACGTAGCTGTCAGTTGTTCATCGACTCCGTAACTCCCGAGTTTTTTTTAGCAAACCCAGAGACAGTGTAAAAATCGATTGCACCCTTTTCGGTGTGTCGGGACACCAATTTCTCGTGCAAAGTTTCCTTTTCGGAGGAGAAGAAGACGTTGGACTCGAGAATTGGCAATTCGTTGCGTGACCTCGCGATCCCCGACAAAACCGAGACGGGTAGGCAAAAACAACACTGCGAATCGCTGGGGGATGTCATTAATTAGTTAGTACGGAGGACACGTATTTCAGAAGCGTTATTGGTGATATGCTTCCCCACGGATCTCCGCTAAGATGCGCTGGGAAGGGCTACTAAGCCTAATCCCAAAACTAAGCCTAAAGCTAAGCCCAAGCCCAAGCCCAAGCCCAAGCCCAAACCGAAGCCCAAGCCAAAGCCGAAGCCAAAGCCCAAGTCCAAGCCCAAGCCCGAGCCCAAGCCCAAGCCCAAGTCCAAGTCTAAGCCGAATCCGAAGCTGAATCCTAAGCCTAATCCCAAACATTCATCGATAAGAATAGCGGTTGTCGACAAAAAGGACAAGCCGGCTGACGTCTAGCTCTTTGGAAAGCCGCGCGAAGATTGGACGTCGGTGAAATATGGAAATCGCGATGAAGCGGAGGGAACAACCACAAACTCAATCGCAGTCGAAGGCCCCCGGGAGGGCCCCAAACGGATTGTGGGGGGCCGAGGCGGCAGGTAGGCCAGAGCAGAAATCTGCATCTAGGGACCGGCCGGGATCGAAAACGGCCAAAAAAATTTTCAAAATTCAGGAAATAACCAGCGCTGACCCCCCCGCTACGCGGGGGTTCAGCGCTGGCCTCCCCTCACAATTTGGATTTTGGATTTGAATGCAAAATTGGGCTGAATTCCCGGTCGGGCGGACAGACGGACATTAGAAATTCATATATAGTAGATTTTAGGGTCGATTTCGACAATCTGAAGTCAGAAGCCGTTCCTGCCCAACTGCATATTACACACTTGGGAACCAGCAATTAACTCGGAGGGCTTTTGAGAAAGGAAACGTTGCGAATAAGAGCAAAAACGAGAAAAGTAAAAAGTCCCGAAAAGGGTCATTAAATCGGAATAATCAGGGTATAGTGGGCGTTCGTATCGTTCTAAAGGCACCTTGAAGGTACAGATCCCGCTTTAAAGGACTTAATATGCCCTGAAATCTACCCCGGATGTTCGCTGGGTATCGACATAAAACTTCACCGCGCAATTTGCCTCAAAATGTCCTGAAAAAACGTCCTTTGGACTGGAGCGTACCTGTCGAGATCCAGTTTCAAAAATAGGTCAAGCCTTGCGCTTCCAGCCGCTTTAAAAAAGCTCGGCATTCGCTTGAAGACGCCTCAAAAAGGCCGTTCGCAATAACGACCCAAACAAGCGCGGAAAACGACGAGTTCCGGCGAAATCGGGCATTTCACTCACCCACTTTGTCTTCGGGCTAACTAGGCCCGGATTTTTGGAGCATAACGTGGCTCGGAATACGGGTCCAACCCGGGTTTCTCGGGGCCAAAGATTTTACAACGTTTTAAAGCAAATGGACCCTATTTCATTAATGGAAAATGAGCAATGTACAGGGTGTATCAAAAAAAGCCCTACCTAGCGGGCCGCAGCCGGGTCCGATTTTCACGCTTTAGCTATCAATCGAAAGCTCTCGAAAAAGCGAGAAAACAAGCGGGTTTAGTTTTCTAAAATTTAATCTGATTCCATCGATATTTAAGGTTCTTCTAAAGAACCGGTAATTTTTCAGCAGGAATTTCGCAATTACCATGCAGATCTTGCTAAATCAGCAGTTTTCATGGGTTTTGGACGTAAAATTAGCGAATAAAAACACATATAATAGAGAAAAGAACCCTCCTTTTTTCGCCTTTTCGAAATCTTTCGATGGATAGCAAAATCATAAAAATCGGATTCGACTGCGGGCCGCTAGGTAGGGGGGGTTGGGACACCCTGTAAGGACTAGTGTGGAAGCACGATATAAAAAAGAGTTCCGTGTGAGTGGAGGGTGGCCCTGTGATTTAATTGGTCCAATCTCGACTTCCTCTGGAGGCGCAGGGGCCTCTCATCAGAGGCCCATCTGCTCCATTTCACGCGCCACCACGCCCCTTTCCAACGCTTTTTGCGACTCGAAAAGCTTGTGGCTGGGTGTGGGAGGTGCGATGGGTCATTCAGAGAAGCTAGGGAACAATTTTTTAAATTTAGGTACTGTTTCTTTATCGGGGGGGGGGTCAATTCTTCCTATGTTTCCTCAGGCCCCAACTATGTAAAAGAAGCTCCTGAAGTGCACTCCACGCATTTTTAAAATATAAGTTTCGTAGAGAATTAGTAAATGTTTTTAATATAAATTTTTAATGATTTAAAGTTTCAAATCGTCAAATTTTTTAACACATTTTGATAATCGGAAATCAGAAAAAAGGTCTAAATTCATATTGTGGAAATTTTTGCATAGGGTTCGGGGGTTTTCCAGGAAAATTAGCTTATATAAATTTCGACCGAATGACATTTTACATAATAAAATTTTGACATTGTGAATTTCCACATCATGCATTCCGACGTTTTGAAAGAAACCCCTTATTACGTAGGAAATTGCTAGAAGCGAATTTGTGCGAAGAAAACCGACCGTTTCGCCAACAACTCGAGTCACAGGCCGACACCGGTACCATCCATCGTCTCGCCCAGGATTTGCTGCAAAATGTTTGCATAGACGGGGATTATTGAGGAAATGACGGAGTATCGTTGCGGAAAACACTGTTGGCAAATTGATGAGGAGAAAACTGGGAAATGAAGTACGGAAAGTGGAGGATTATAGGTACTGGGCGATTGGCTCAAGTCTAGTCTAGTCGACAAAAAAGTCGGGATTCAACATCAAAACGGCGAAATCCTAAGGAAGAAAGATCCTTTCAGGTTCTTTCGCATTATCGGGGGTCCTACAAGGAATTCTCCGGAATTCCATTTCTAATATCAGCAGATTAACTGTTTAAACCTCAAACCCATTTTCTATTGGTCTTAGCGGCAAAAAATCTCCAATTTTTATCAGAAAACAAAAAATACCGTTTTTTCGACGACAAATGCCCGATTTTCGAATAAAATTTAGAAATTTCACCAATTCACAAGTTTCAAGATATTTTTCATTTTCTTAAAAACTCTACAAAATTATTTGCTAAACATTTGCACTTCTATAACAACATGCACCCCCCGATAATGCCAGAGCACCTTTTTAGTTTAGTTCGGCGAGTTCCGGCGAATATTTTGGTGGGACCAATGGAGAAAACTCTTAAAACGGCCGCTGCAATAACACGCCCATTCCGCGGGCCCGTGCCAGGGGGATTTCGACGAAACGAAGCGATTCAGAATCGAAGTGAGGGCGTAGAGGAGCAGCAGCCCAGGACCGAGCCTTGCCTGGCCCTTCACCCAAATTCCACGGCAATCCGTT